CATCTCTTGGAGAAGCTTTTCCCGCATTCAGAACAAAAAAACGGCCGCTCCCCCGTTTGAATTCTCTGGTGTAGGAGAAGGCTTACTCTTTGGGTAAAGCATTTCCCGCATTTGGAACACAAGAATGGGTCATCAGTGGCGTGACTCCTCAAGGTGCTGCCTCAGGGTGAAACGTTCACCGCATTCAGCGCCGGGATACGGCTTCTCCCCTGTGTGACTCCTGTGGAGGGGAAATGAGATATTCCTTCCGGGTGAAACGTTCACCACATTCAGCGCCAGGATACGGCTTCTCCCCTGTGTGACTCCTGTGGAGGGGAAATGAGATATTCCTTCCGGGTGAAACGTTCACCACATTCAGCGCCAGGATACGGCTTCTCCCCTGTGTGACTCCTCTGGAGGGGAAATGAGATATTCCTTCCCGGTGAAACATTCACCGCATTCAGCGCAGAAGAACGGCTTCTCCTCTCTGTGGACTTTCACGTGTCTGGCAAGATCCGATCGTTCGGTAAACCGTTTCCCATAATCTGAACAGGAATATGGCTTAACCCCCCCTGCAACTTCTCTGGTGCCTAAGGAGATTCTTCTTCCAAGAAAAACACTTGCCACATTTCGAACACGAATACCACTTATCCGTGGTGTGGGAACCCTCATGATAAACCAAGTAGGACTTTTCAGCAAAACACTCCCCGCACTCTGAGCATGAATATGGCTTCTCTACCGATTGAACTTTCTCATGCCTGATAAGACTTGGCTTACAGGTAAAACATTTACCACAATCAGAACAGGAGTATGGCTTCACCATGGTTTGTCTTCTCTTGTATGAAGAAAGTTCTGCTCTCTCTGTAAAACATTTACCACACTTGGCACAAGGGAAGATGTCATCCTCTCTATGGTCTTTGCAATCGGTGATAGGAGGGATATGATCAGGTAAACCTTCTACGTGTGTCCAGGCGTCAGACGAAGAATCTTCTGGATGGCGAGTTGGGGCAATGGAGTCTTCTTCTGAAGAATCTGATGTGAGGTCATCATCTGGAAGGATGAAGGGACTTTTATCCACTTTATTCATACCATGTTGTCTGTCCAGAGGAACAGAAGGATGAAAGGGAAAACATTAATTTATAGGAGTCTTCTTTACAGTCAATGACAAGCATCTTACAGAACTCTGCTCTCCATACCACCAGATGTAATTTCTAGGGATGCACCGATATATCGGCCACTGAAATGCTGTATTTTTGGCAAAATATACATCATGTAGGTGCCATTTTCTGGCCGATACAGCGGTGAATCCGTTCTTTCTCTCATCCCTGCTGGGCGCTGCTCTGTATCCCAGCGGGGAGGAGCAATAGCTGTTTATCTTGTTCCCCTGTGTTACGCCAATCATGTCCATAGAAGACTGAGGAGAGGCTCCTCAGGGGCGGAGCCACAGACAGCTCCACCTGTCCTGGAGCAGGAAAGCAGTGACGGACCCACCTCTAAATAAGTCTGTGCCCCTGCAGAGCTCACCATCTACTGTTCTACACTTTGGAGGACTTGCAGGTAGATGATGATTTGTTGGGGTGACATGATCTCCCCATCCAGTCCACAGAAAGTGCTGGGACCACCTTCTCTCATAATAAGAAGACATTATTACCTCCTCCTCACTGGACACACTCTCCCGGCTCACATCCCACCAGCAGCTGCGATAAAACACAGAAAACTTCAGTTTCAATAAACTGACCCTCCAACACGCTTTACCGGCTACTCGCACTGCGCATGCGCCGGACATCAGGAAGCGGCTAGACAGACGTGGAGCGCATACAGAACCACAGAGCGGAAGCATCGACCGTTGTCAGTGAAATCCCCGCCCACTGCGCTGCCTCATTTACATACAAACACACAGAGCCGCCGCTAGAGGCCCGACACTAGACAAACCACCTTCGCCCCATAGAATCGCCGGCCATTTTGTTGGAGCGTGTTAAATAGGCTATTTTACAGGTATGGAAATGTAGTTTTAGATGACTCGCACTCTTGAAACTAGTTCTGTAACAATACCATGACTTTTAGATGGAGTATTCATTATTTTGTCATCAGCCTGAGGTTTTCATCTAAGGGTTAGCGGAGGTGGCCACCACTTTATTGTAGCCCCGAGTTGGGGAAAGAAGACGGAGCCTCAGCACTAGTGGCATCCTCCTGGTGGGGGTGGCGGACTGGAGAGTGTGTGGCCAGTAAGGAGGAGGTAATAATGTCTTCTTATTATTAGAATTAGCCTGTTTTAGAATTTGGGGAAGGGGGTTGTAGCTAAATTTGTACCCTTTTTTCTCTTACTTTCTCCAAGGCTCTGCCCCAGCATGTCCTTCGTTTAGTGAATATTTGTTGTGTCCCATTATTTTGCAGGACAGCGCCCCTAACCCCATTTTTGCATATTCTCCCGTGCCGCCAGCTTTAAGCGTAGTGCCCCTTGCAGCGCGGGGACAGCACGTAAGTTGTTGTCGTAGGCGCACACGAAGCGCCGTCGTCCACAACTATATCGCAGGAAAGTGTTGTTCTATAATAGAGCAGAGACGGGTACTTCTTAGGTTAAACCAGCAAAAGTATATATATATATTTGGCAATATTGATGGCAATCTTGGTGGCTATGGCCGACCGCCCCCCACCATGCGAGTTTCCCTCCACCAGCCGGTTGTATCTGAGCCGTGCCAGTAAAAAAACAGGAGATTGTAAACACGCAGGGTATTTTTCGGGATAGCTGGCGTAAGCGGGATGAGTAGCGGCCACAACCATTGACACAACCACTGGGAGACAGTAATGGATAGAAGCCGCGTAAGGGCCAGAAATCTGGCAGGTTTTATTGCCATCATTGTCCGCATTGCTTAGTTCCCGTCCCACCCCAGGAAAGAGAAACGAGGGGAATTTTTCCCAACGGGGACACAACAATAAACCCAACACTATAGGGGCTGATTCATACAACATTCGCCCAGCCACGCTCTGTGCAAATGCCGTTCACACAGCATTCCAGCCACTAGATGGTGCTGAGGAGCCTAGGAATCCCTAAGCTCCTTGGCTCTATCTAGTGGCAAGAATTCTGTGTAAATTGCATTTGCCCAGAGCATGGCTGGGGAAGGG